ATTACCTTGGAGATCATCCGACCACGCATAATGCGACAGTAGAAGACCAGAGGCACGGTCTCGGAGAGGCAGATGGGTTCGGAAGAGACAGGAAGCAGGGTGGAGTCCGCACCGCGACTAACCAATCCACTAGGTATTTGCATTTTCGAGATGGCCACCCTCTCGAGGATGGAGATGATGCGGATGGGGCACTCGGGATGCACTTGTGGATTGTTGCCATGCGGACAGAGGCACACGTGCTTCAGCAGATCGGGATCAAACACGAGGGCGGTGCGCCGGTTTCTGAACATACGAATGACGGGCAGACAACAATTTAGAGATAGATAAGTCACCAACAAAAAATCTCAAACATATTGCGGTGGGCATCGATTTGAAGCCTTTAAATTGCTTTTAGAGCTGGCAACATGGGAACAGGCTGTATGAGAGATGTCACCATCTAATTACGTTTCAGCGGATCGGGATCAAACACGAGGGCGGTGCGCCGGTTCCTGAACACATAAATGACGGGGGGAAGAGAGAGAGATAGATCACTTAAAAACCCCAAGCATAATGCGGTGGGCATCGATTTGACGCCTTTAAATTGCTTTGACAGCTGAGCTGTCACAGTCTAATGACGCCATGTTTGAATCCTCAAGGAAGAAAGGTGTAAGCCACCCGCACGAGGGTTTTATTGCGTACAGAAACTGGAGTTGCTGTTCCGATAATTATGGACCGCATACGGGTGGCCGCTAAGAACTGTAAATACAACGCAATATGTGCATGTCTCGTACTATCCCACGGTTACCTATGATTAGGAATCCTATGACAGAATCTGAAACGTCAGGAAAATAAAATTCTTGTTCCAGTGATCGCGTCGTCTTCTTCTTCTTCTTCTGAGTGACTACTGATGTCAAAATGTAATCGAGTAGAAGCCACAGAGAAGAGGGACTTTGACCAGAGAAATGACTAATAGGAGCGCACGCGCTTTTTCCCAAGACAGTCAAATGAGATAAATGACGTCAAAAATCACGCCCCACCTGACACATTATCGGTGTAAATGTGGACTTGAAGTTCAGTTCGGGCTTCTTTAGCCAAAAAAGCACATACACGATGGCATTTAGCTTATTGTACTTAAAGAGGGCGACATGAGCTATGACAATATAGACTTGCGTAGCGTGTAACTCACCCCCCCTCGCTTTCTGTCTCTTTACAGGCCTACCACGTGCCGATGAAAAGAAAATCACCAAAAACTGGAGATTACCCCTAAGCGTGTCACATGGTGCGTACTCGGCTAGGGTTTCTCATTGAGAGACGTTTCTTTAAGGATTAAGCGGCGAAGGGCACTGCAAACAGACCGTCAGTTACGAAAACCCACAGAAAA